ATTCATCAATTGCAGTATTCTGTGATGGTGTGTAAGCTGATTTTAATTTCTTATTCAGAATATCAACAACAGGTCAAATTTTAAACAGTCTATCAATGCCTTCATCTTTTTCATTATAGTTGAACTGGTTTGCGTGGTATATAAGTATATCCGTCATGACTCATGAGGTATAATATAGACTAGGGAATAAGGTGTTTTAATCTCCAATCCATCTCAATTTTTGGCTTACATACTATAGGCTACCAAAGTGCCAAACACTTCACACATAAACTCATTGAAAATGTCCAGAGCAGAGCTGTCTTCATTCAGGTTATCATTCAGGCTTATTGTCGACTTTCTCCCATTTCCATTCAATCGAATTATTAGGCATGGCACTTTAAATTTCTTCATTAAAGTCGCAAACAACGAAAAAATTTGCACTACCAACTTTATTTTTTTCTAATTCTTGATCACTTTTGATTGGATGCCTCGTCGCGATGAGTCATTGGAGTCACACTCTTCTTCTTACAACAATCCAGAGTCTACAAACATATTCCTTATCTCATTTTCATCCAAATTCAATTTTCGTTTGTTACTGGACGCCATGTTGGAAAGGGAGACAACCCTCTTACATCCGCAAATTCTTTTAGGCTTTAAACAAAACATATTAATGTTTATGTTTTGAGGTATGGTATGACTCAGAACTCTTGTGAAACACAAGGTCCTTTTGTGAGATATCTCATCCGTGACATTGTAATGCGCAAAATATTTTGTCATCCACGTTCAAGTGGTTAAAAACAAATATTTTAAGTAGCCTAGTCTAGGTTAGGTCTATAGCAGAGGACCATTTCAAAATAGCATCAAATCGACATTAATCTCTTAAACATGGTGACTGAAAAGCTAAAATTGTAAGTAATATCCACATTGACAATCTCTATATGTCAGAAAAACAAAACTGAATAGGGCCTATGCCTTAGTTAAGGAATTAGACTTTGTCAAGTGCATTATTCCTGAAAGTGCGTAAAATATCTGAAAAAATTACTAACACCCACAGTTACATAGCACCCAAATTTTGCTCACTTCCTACAATTCAATGTATGCTGCACAGAAAGCTGAAATTTGCAGGGCATAACATCCAGATTGACTCTACTCATTCTCACATTCATATTCATGAGGAGGAAAATAACCTTTAGTGTTTTAGCCTACGTCATATCATATGAAACGAACCCAGTTCTACACTCGATAAATTAACTACGGTACGTTTTTACATGACTAGATCTGTCAACACCTATTCCCTTTTTTGAGCATGAACATGGATAGTTGATAAACATTCTGATACAGAATTGAGTAAAATAAAAGCGATAATTTACCCGAAGAGAGAAAAATAAAACAGCTAATTCCAAAAAAGGTATATTTATTTCAATCAGAAAAGACTGAATGAGCCTCCTAAGCAGAAGAGTAATTATCTCCCTTAACTAGTGTGCTGTAAAACAACAATGCTTCAGATCACAGTTAATTTAACTTTTAACCTGTAGGCCTGTACGGTTATATTTGGCTGACGCCGTCAGTGACCGTTGACCTTTGAAACCGATGGCGTCGATGGGCGTAATGGTCCGAACTCTACCTATTCCCCGAATTGACCAAAAAATGTCTTGTCGAGACAAGAATTCCCCTGTGCACAGATTTACGAATGACAACAAATGAATATTGCCCCTTCCCCTTTCATGATTTTTCAACTGAGTCTACTTTTGCTACTTATTTAGTTTTGGCTCTGGAGAACACTTTTTCTTCAACAACATTAGTTTTAAATGGAAAGATGTCATTACTCGCTACTTATAATTAGGCTATAACTAGTTCATGATAACTGTCAACTTTCCTGTTCGTTTGAATTTCACTTTAAAAATGCATGATATATTTAGGTATAAACGTTGCCCAAATTTCATTTAATTATTCTATACCTTTTCGTGTAAAACTGCATGAAGCAAGTCATAAACAAAGTCAAGGTTTTAGCAGCTTAACCAACTAAACTAGTGTCCAAAAGAAACGATACCAACTTATTTTCAAAATTGTTTTTTACTAAGTGAATTGTCTAATATGAAAACATGCCAATTCGTATTGCACATCCCAAACACAGCATAGTCGATAAAAATACCGGGAACACGTGATCACTTCCGGGAAAAAACGTAAATTTCGTGAAAGTGACATTTCCCTGTCTAGCATGTTCTGCACGTGCATAAAAACTGTATAAAACGGCTGATCAGACACGTTGATATCACAGCAACAAAAAGAACACAAGATATGCCACTTTTGACAGCCATCGAGAGAGAGAGAGCCGTTGGAATGGTCCAACAAGGAGCGACACACGTCGACGTCGCCAGAAGGTTGGGCTGCGCACGCATCACTATCACCAGGTTGATGCAGCGGTTACGTCAGACAGGTCAGACGTCAAACAGGCCCAGGAGTGGAAGACCACGAGTAACCACGCCCCATGAAGATCGGTACATCCGGGTATTACACCTGAGGAACCGCACCGTAACAGCGACGTCCACGGCGGCTACAGCACTGGGGCACAGGATCAGTCGACAGACCGTCTACAGGAGACTACGGCAGTATGGTATCCGGCCACGTCATCCCTACCGCGGACCGCTCCTGACGCCTCGACACCGGAACAACAGACTGATCTGGACCAGGCGAGTTCGACGTTGGCAACGGCGGGACTGGGCACGTGTTATGTTCTCTGATGAGAGCAGATTCCTCATCTTCAAAAATGATGGACGGCAGCTTGTATACCGACGATTTGGTGAACGTTTGGCGCCTAACTTTATCCAACAGGTCCGGTCGTTTGGAGGTGGAGGTTTAATGGTTTGGGGTGGCATATGTGGTGACGTCAAAACGAGGCTTGTCGTAATTCGTGGAAACCTGAATGCACAGCGTTATATTGATGACATCCTACGGCCTGTTGTGGTGCCCTTTATTCAGCAACAGCCACGTGGACTCCTTTTCCAACATGACAATGCAAGGCCCCACACAGCAAGATTGACACAGAACTTCCTTGCCAACGCCAACGTACAGGTTTTGCCATAGCCCGCATGTTCACCGGACATGAATCCCATCGAGCACTTATGGGACCACCTCGATCGGCAAATCCGACTTTGCCGTGTGCCTCCAGTCAACGTCCAGGACTTGGAACGATGTCTCCTCGAGGAATGGCAACGAATCACTCCCAACGTCATCAGATGTTTGACGGCATCAGTCCGTAGGCGTGTTCTGGCATGTATTGATGCTCACGGTGGACATACCCGCTACTGACTAGACTTTGTGACGTGTGGTGTGACATTTCCCGTTGTTTCTGTGATCAGTGCTCTAACGAAATGTTCTTTTTTCGACCCCACCCATCTTTAAAGGCTTGTCATATTGGTTGTACAGATTTTATTGAAATGAAATTTTTGTACAGATGTTGTGAAAGGATTTCTCAAAAGCATAACACCAATCCTAAACTTCTGCATTGTTTAGTTTTTCTTTTTATGTCGTTGCAAACAGGTGGTATCGTTTCTTTTGGACACTAGTTTAGTAGCTACAGGGGCTGGGCTAGCCTCACAGAGTACAAAACATAGGTACAAATAGGGCTTAGACTGACTTAATCAGGGCAATTACTGTCGAGGCTGAAGGACGGAGGGGATGTCCAGCTCCCGCACCCCCTCCCCAACTGCGCTGCTAGATTTTGGGTCTTATATGTTCAATTACTTCGATCGAACCTCAAACCTGTCCAAGGAATTAAGAACTTCAAACCTGTCCAAGGAATCAAGAACCTTCATCCTCTACCTTTCCCTTTATTGTCACTACAATTATTATAGAACCAAAAGCAATATTAACAAATCATCAAATGAAATTAAGTCTTACTTTTCTGTAACGGACAAGATTTATAATTAATATGAAACTCATTATCGATTTCTTACTGTTGAGGGATATTTAACGCGATAGCCTGTAGCACAGAGGGACTCTGTTTATTGTTCCATCCAACAAACCCTGGATTTCAGATTAGCTAGAAAGCGTCTAATTCACTGAGCCACCGCAGATAACAGTTAACACAACAAAAGGTAGAAACTGATAGCGACAGAAATCAGATTTAAAACTAAGAGGCTGCATTTAAAAGGCAAGCATAATGCATAAAAATTTAAAAAGTGTGAGTTTGGATAAGTCATAGAGAAATTACAAGAAATAAAAATCTGCACAGGCAAAACAACTTCGTTTACTAAATATATTTCATGACAAAATCGGGAGCAGTGGAGTCAGACGAAAAGGACCATCAGATGTTATGAAAGTAGTAAACACGACCTGTCTTTCAAGTGGCAATCGAAACTTCTATACAAGTCATCAAAACAATCAATCAAACCTTCCAGATTTTGTGAAAATCAGATACCATCAGCAGTCTCGATATGGATCCATGTGAAAATACACAAATTCAAAACTATTATTTTTACAAGAGTAAGCACTCGGGTTCAACAAGATCTTGTCAACATGCTGGTCCTTGGTCATCTAATGAATGAAGTACAGTCCTCAAAATGTTTAAAACTTGAGATCTTCCTACAAAAATGGTTTAAGGAATTGCGGATACTTTTTCATCTGTACGAATTGTATGTCAATGATAATTTGTTGCTGATAGAGCTACAGTTTGTCCTCGGAATGTTGAATAAGCCTAAAATCAACTTATTCAAAGTTGGTGGAGAAGCTGAGACAAGTCCATTCCAATACAAATTAGAACCCATTTATTATCATTTGTTATATGGATAGCAAATGACGCCAGGATTCCAAAACTCAAACTAAATGAGCAGCAGTCTGTCTAAAAAATTTCAAGATCAACTTACCAAAAATGGGCGGAGTAATCGCCCTACTTCTTCATCTGTTCCTCTTCATCTGTTCTTCATCTGTTCTTCATCTGTCCTTCATCTGTTGGCGCGCGCCGCTTCATCTGTTCTTCATCTGTGAATAGGAGGATCTGTAGAGTCATACAGGCCATGACCCTAGAACACTCCTATTGTGGCAGTGCTATAGTGGGTAGGTAAATTACCAGACGATTTACCCTTTCTAAACTGAAATTGAATCAAACCAAAATAGTAACGAACCAAATCGTACAAACAACGAGCGATCCCCAACACAGCAGCAAATTTCATCAGCAATGTTTCAACAAAACGGGACCCTGTTTAAGTCTTGGACTTGACTGATTTGAATATCAAGGACAATTATTGTTTCAAGCCTAACCGTTTGAGAACTTAAAAAATCGGTAGCTATTTCAGCTTTAAAAATCAGCATCTGTTTGAGCATTAAATTATAAGCAGCAACTGTACAACGAGTCCGAATTGATTGGCAGACAGACAGACAGACAATGGTGAGGAATTTCATATTCCCTTTCACACTGAATTATCACCCTGATCACACTTTGCAACTTGGTATGGAACTTAAGTTCACATAGCTTAAAGATGGATTCCTTATTTTTTAGTGTCAAATTA